AGTTTTTCCACAGTTGATGTCTCTTCTGTAAGTCCAAAAAAAGGCATAAAGATACTATCAGGCAGACTCTGCAGCTGCATACCATGTGGACACTTCAACCGAATCACATCCCCATTTTCAGCTGATGCAGGTCGCGGCGACTTTCTGTCGGCAGCAAAAGGAAAGCAATGCAAACAGTGCCAGTGGAACCAGAAAAGGGGGGTGTACTTGTGAGGCTCAGGGGGATCTCCAACTTGCCTAATACTCCAGAAAAGACAATGGCAAGCACCACTGCAGACAGCCTGGGCAAGAGAATGAGCCTTCAAAGGAACAGCTTGCTGTTTGCAAAAGTTTGAGTTTATTGCTTTCGGTTAGTTTTGCACAAATTGAAACCATTGAAAGTAAATAAAATATTACAGGTTTGTCCAGGGCACTTAAACTTTCTCCTTATAAAAGTATGAATTATTTGTCTGTTGTAGCAGAGAAGGGCATAAGCATCTTGAAAGCAGTGAACACATCTTGTATGTTGTACTGAGATTCACTGTGGTGCCTTAACTGTTCAGAGTTGAAAGAAAGCGGGACAGTGGAAATCAAAGACATGGGATCTTGGGACCATTCCACATAAGGATCAGTAATAAACTCATAAGAACATAGGAATACCAAAGGCCTACCTAGTCCAGTATTCTGCTACCATTGTGACTAAGCAAGTGCACCAGGGAAGCCTATAAGCAGGATATGAGCACAGCAACCCTCTACTTGTGATCCCCAGTAACGTGTTTGCCACTAAGTGCAAAGCTCAGCAGGGAGCTTTAACCAATAGCACAACACACATGGGTCTGTACACACAAGTTTGTCATGTTCAAAGTATACGTTTTTAAATGTGAATATCAAAAAAAAGCTACAAGATGCATCAGCTTTTATGACCACTTTATCCCCCATCGGGATGAACACAATCCAACTACCCTTCATGTGTTCCTCCTGAACACAGAAGTGGCAGGATTGTGACCACTGACCACTGCATATTCAGGATTAGTAAGTAACTATAGTCAAGCTTCCCTGTCCGAGTCCTGTGCACGTACAACCCCTTTCTCACTAACATCAAGCATACAGGCACATTGGCACATGAGAGGCATGGTGAGGGAGCATGTTCCAGCTGTCCCTCGCAAATTCATTAGCACCTTCTTCTGTTTTTAGACGTTGGCCTCATATTTAAGCCCCCCTTCGACTTAACAGCCATGGCCAGACTATTATGTCTGTTTCTGCAAAAAGATGATCTTGCCATAATTATCCAATGCCTTGGTAACTTCCAGGTTAGATTTCTGCAATGGATTGTATGTGGAACTGCCTCTAAAAACCAGTTTGGAAGCACCATCTGATTAAAAATTCAGCACCTGAGTTCTTAACTGGAACTCACTGCTTTCATTGTATTTTATCTACAGTGGTACCTCAGGTTAAGAACTTAATTCATTCTGGAGGTCCATTCTTAACCTGAAACTGTTCTTAACCTGAGGTACCACTTTAGCTAATGGGGCCTGCCGCACCACCGCCGCACAATTTCTGTTCTCATCCTGAAGCAAAGTTCTTAACCCAAGGTACTATTTCTGGGTTAGTGGAGTCTGTAACCTGAAGCGTCTCTAACCTGAAGCGTCTATAGCCCAAGGTACCACTGTATTTGAAAGATTTCTAGACCACCAAACTGTCCCAAACATCATAATAGTATATAACAACAATGAATAACAACAAACCAAAGCTGATAAAAAGTTTTTCAAAGAGAAATCCAATGCTAGCTGGGGGAAAGCCTGTAGAAATATATATTTAGGGAATATATATGTTTAGGGAAGCTTTTAATGTTTGATGCATTACTGTATTTTAATATTTTGTTGGAAGCTGTCCAGAGTGGCTGGGAAAGCCCAGCCAGATAGGCGGGGTAAAAATAATAATAAGTAGTAGTAGTTGTTGTTATATTTTTGGCATCTGGCGAAAGGTAAGCAACATTGGCCATTATCTAACATCAGTGGACAGTATGGTTCACAAGACAGGTGCCACTACACAGAAGGATCTAGCCTGAACTTAGATGAATCAGACCTCCAGCACAATGTGACACAACAAGGATGGCCTTTGTTCTAGGAAATACTGATAAGCAGGAGGGCACTGCAAAGCGCAGGAGGTCCTTGGTGGAGGCTGTAAGCTGATCTTTAATGTACTGCAGTGGCCTCCTGATTCCGAGTAGCATTTAACCCTCTGGAGCAAAGGGTTATGATCGTCTCCTGCTATCTGCATGATCATTTGGGCGCCTATGGGGGTTATGCACGAAAGTAGCAGTGAAACTGCGGCTCGTTCATGGGGACTTCCCGTGGTTTTGCATTCTATCGCAGACTCGGTGGCTCAGACAGTCTGGTAAACTTTGGACCCGTCTAGCTACATAGTCCTGTTCCAGCCACCAGCTCAGACTCAGCTTTTCTCGGGAAGGAAGGACAGGACTTCTTGTGGTTGTTTAGGCAAATAAGGTTAGCATTACAAGGGCATGGGGTGAGCAGGCTTAGACTGGACTGAGCAGTTTCATTATGGAGAAAAGGCGGCACAAGAAGAGGGCTTTCCCTCCAGGTTTAGTTCATGTGACAGTGAAACTGAATTGCCTGCAGTGAGGTCTTGTTGCCTGGGCAGCCCAGGACTCCTACGTATCCTGCCCAGGCTTGTGTCCCGGAGAGGTCACTTGGGTGCTGCTAATGCTGGAAAAACATCACAGGAAACAGCAGTTACAAGTTATAAGCTCGACCTTATTGGCGTTAAGTATGATATGAGCACTATGGGTTGCCTTTCTTGCTGGGGGAGCCCCTGTATTGGTCTCTAGAGTCATCTCTAGGGGATGCGGGTGGCGCTGTGGGTAAAAGCCTCAGTGCCTAGGGCTTGCCGATCGAAAGGTCGGCGGTTCGAATCCCCGCGGCGGGGTGCGCTCCCGTTGTTCGGTCCCAGCGCCTGCCAACCTAGCAGTTCGAAAGCACCCCCGGGTGCAAGTAGATAAATAGGGACCGCTTACTAGCGGGAAGGTAAACGGCGTTTCCGTGTGCGGCTCTGGCTCGCCAGAGCAGCGATGTCACGCTGGCCACGTGACCCGGAAGTGTCTCCGGACAGCGCTGGCCCCCGGCCTCTTGAGTGAGATGGGCGCACAACCCTAGAGTCTGTCAAGACTGGCCTGTACGGGCAGGGGTACCTTTACCTTTACCTTTTTATGATATGAGCACTATGGGTTGCCTTTCTTGCTGGGGGAGCCCCTGTATTGGTCTCTAGAGTCACAGCAGGCACTGAAACTCACCAGCACTTTGACTTTACCCCTGATGGTGCCCTCTTCCATTGTCTCTCAAGATGCCAACATTGGCACCTGGCTTGATCAATACAAAGAGGATAATTGCCTGGAAATATATAAGGTGGCCTCTTGGGGATCAGAACAGATAGCCTGCTCAGAAGGTCATCTGTGAGTTAGATCCAGATTTTGTCACAATTAGACTGTTGAAACCAGTGGGACTTAATTTAGTCATGACACAAACACACGTGTGCGCATACCGTTCGTCCACAATGTATTCATGTGTATTCATCTGACAGGAAGACATTTTTATTATTTGGCTTCATTATTTAGGGAACGATCCAGCATGTGACTAAATCTTTCCCATTGGAATTTATGGAACTTAGAAGTGCCCATAGATAGCCTCTTTTAATATAGTCAGCAGTTCCAGATTGCATGCTGGTCTTTGGGTCTTGACTTTTACATCCTGGCCCCTGTGCATGTTTACTCAAAAGCAACTCTGGCGCAGCATGGCAGGCTTTTGTCAGTCAAGCGCTGTGTCACCCACCCTCACAGAAGAAGGCACGAGGTAGAGATAGGATTCTCTGGCCACATTTAATTATTTTTTAAAAAATTCAATACCGCCCTTTATTAAAAAAAAAGAACACCTCAAGTTCGCAATAACAAAAAAGGAAAAACTAATTCACTGAAGCACAATAAATTGGAGGACTTGTGAGAGGAAGCGGCTGGCCTAAGACCGCTCCGTAATATGGGATCCAGCCCCCAGGAGACCAAGTCTTGACTCTCTCCACTGGGCCTTTGCCTTCTCTCACTGCCCGTTGTTATTTGCCAGCCTCACTCTGCTTCTGTCACAGTGCGGCAGTTTGTACTTAGCCTTGCCCACATCATTATAAATAACGAAGTGGGACGTGTTTTATCTTCGCTCGAACTGATGGCTGAAATGTGGCTTTTGTCTGAACTCCCGCCAAGCCCTTGACACAGGCAGTATTTAGAAGTCAGTAAAAAAAAAAAAGGAAAGGAAGGGGGGGCTCATTAATTTTTGTTTTTCCCCTTTAAGGGCATCCCAACATGAAATAACATGTGTGGCTCTTGCATGGCTCTTGGCCAGGAGTGATGGGATTTGTAGTTCAGATATCTGGAGGATACCAGGTTGAGGAAGCCTGGTTTTGGCTGTGGCTGCAGAATAAATACCAAGGGGGAGGGACTGTAGAAAGTAACTGCTGGTCCCAGACCCAGCGAGGAGCAAGGCAGGAAGATTCTTGATGCGTTTCTTCCGAAAGGCTAATACAAGCAGCGGTATTGAGTGCTTCTGCAACTGATACATTTTGGACAACGCTTACAGGACAAGAGGGAGGGAAGGAGCTGGCTGGGCAGAACGGAAGCAACGCAGAAGACCCAAGGCCAGCCTCCTCCTCCTCCCACCTCCCCCCATAAACTTTTATGGGAAAGTATTACGAGGAACAAAGGGCAGCATAATTGCCATTCTCCCACTGGAATGTGCGTTCTGAACATTGGGTAGATACAAAACATAAGAACCTTGGAATCGAGCAGCCGATCTGTGTTCCAAGAAAGCAAATAGCTTGCCGGCTTCCTCAACTTGCTCCTTTTAGGCCCGAAGAATTAATTCCTTTCTCGCGTGTTGCATTCACCAAGAAATGATTCGACTTCTCGGGTCTCCCTCAGGCTTTCATTCATTCTCTGCTTGTCCTTTCCTTTCCAGAAATTCCCAGAGCTGAAGTTTAAATACGTGGAAGAGGAGCAACCTGAGGAGTTCTTCATCCCTTACGTCTGGTCCCTGGTGTACAATTCTGCTGTGGCACTTTACTGGAGCCCACAAGACATCCAGCTCTTTACTATGGATTCTGGCTGAAGGGGAGACATACACATGGCCCGCCCACCTCTTCCCAGAATGCATCCCTTCAACCTATGGAACAGGAAGTTTGTTACTAATGTACTGCCCCATTGCCATTTTCAGGGGGCTTATTAGGAACCAGAATAATAGGGGAACTCTCACAAGATTGTATGCTTTTATTTATATATTTGTAAAAAAACAAAAACAAACAAAAAAACCCAAGAGATTTTTTTTCCAGCGGCTCTGAGCTGGGGGGGGGGTGATAAAGCAAGATGTTAGCAATGAGCAGCTTTTTAAAAAACTTAAGAACAAAAATGTAAAATGGGGAAGTGGGGGGAAGTATTTTGATTTGAGAAGTCAGCATTTGCAAGCTGGTTTCCTTCAAGCTTTCTGGTTGTGCTTCACTTTTTTTATTATTATTACTTTTTTGTTGTTGCTGTGGGCTTCTCATCTGATCATCAGAACAATCTCCCCCCCTTTAACGTTGTATAGAACTGAAACGTCTGACTGATGCAATTTAAAAATATTACAGCATTAATGCTATTTCATATTGAGGCAGGAAGGATAAATCCTTGATTTTGATAAGGTTGACCCCTACAATGAGGGAGGATTTTCAGCGTGATTTTGATAAGGCACTAAAAGTTTGTCTTTCTGGCTACTAATACTTAATGAAAGTTTAACGGAATTAAGAGCAGCCCACAAGGAGTGCCGTCTGCAAAAAATAAATATAAAAAATGTATCCATCTCCATAAGGGTTGTGCAGGTGATTCTCCCACCGGATCATGCCCATTCATTTCTAGAGTTTTGGTGTTGTATTTCACACATTTTCATGGACTCCTTGGAAGGGTGCAGGAAAGTGATCAAAATTCAGCAGAACAGAGGTGTGCCTACTGTACTTTCAGGTTTTTGCCAGAGATGTGCAGTTATGCGTACATCTCTGAATGTTTAAAAAGAGTGTCCTACAATATACTTTTTCATTCTCCCTGGTTTAAAGGGAATGGGCAAATGCTGTGTTTGCCAGCAAATGGGGGAGAATAGAGGGAAATGTTTAATGTAAACTTTTCACATGGGCTTATGGTGATTACCTTCAAATGCACAGAACGGCATGCCAGGCTTCAGAGAAAAAGGAACTGTTGACATACATTAGTATATTACCTTGCCCAGCATGGTAAATGTGGCACACTTTATTATGTATTGGAGGGAGATGGTGACACACCTCTTTTTTATGTGGAATGTTTTGCTCTTTTTTTTAAAAAAAAAACCTCCTGACAAATGTTAGAATCGTGTGTCCTTCCACCTTAAGCAAGGTCCTGTATGGCATTCTGCACAATTGGAACTTAAAATCCTTGTCATATTTATTTAAAATTGCAGATGTAGAAAGAAATGCATAGCATCTGAGTTCATAGGACTTTGCACAGACACAGATTTGGGGAAGAGGCAATATGAAGACTGAATTATCAACGTTTTCAGTGTGACATTAAGAAAATTGGAAGGTGATTGGAAACTGGAGTAAATACGATTTTATGCTGTGCTTGGGCTTTTCTTTGTTTTTGATATTATTAGTCAAAGGAAGGTGAATTCTTTGTAATGTTTTTTGCAACCTTTAAATAAAGGACTGTTGACTGCACGACTGCACATCTTGGGAAAAGCCAATGTTTTGAAAGTGTTCTTCTAAGTTAACAAATTCTGAGGATTGCCTGGAACAGTTGGATCAAACTACAGTGAGATATCTAATGCTGAAAGTCGTTGAACGCTCTTAATTTTTCTGGCCTTGTCGCTTATTGAAAGTAGTCAGGAAATCCTCGCCATTACATCCCTAGCAGGACCTGCTGGCTGCCTAGGTCTTCAGATTGGGAGGGAATCAATCATATAACCAAATTACAAGGGTTTCCTTTGTGCCGTCTGCAAGGGTCAATTAAGAAAGCAAGTTATTGCAGTTCAGGCTGTCCCATCCTGATGACACTGAGCTGCTGAATGTCGCAAGACAAGAAGCATTTTTACTCTTGAGCTTTCTTTTCAGATTTTAAATATGGGTCAGCAAGCCTAGAACTGGAGGAGCCATGATTCATTGCTGAAACAGCAGAATAGGCCCAAGACAGGAGATGGTTTTATACTGAACTTAATCCTTGTGTGGTTGACTCTTTTAGGCACTATGAAGGTCTATTGATGTCCTGGAGACTGCAGTCTGGTACATCCATCAATACTCCTTTGTGTCCTCCAGATCTATAAACTACCATCTTTGGAAATCCTTTTCAGTACTTGGTGTGGAAAAGTTACCATGTAGTAATAAAAAGGATGGAAAAGCACCATGCATTGCAGTGTTTTGCGTTTTCTGTAGTCCTTCCCTTTTCCTTGTAATATTTATCACTTTGGCAAATGCTAGCGAAATCATATTTCAAAATCAGGGCTCCTGTTCAGTGCCAGAAAATGGCTATTTATGTAATGTGTAACCTTCTTCTACAAATTACCCAAAACAGAGAAGAGCAACAACAAAGTATTAAAACAATCGAAACAGCAACAAAGCATCAGTTAAAATCTGGAAACAATGTAATAGCAACAGTACACTAGCAATGATACATCAGCTAGTGATACATTCCCAGCAATGGAGCCAAGGGTGCAAATGACTTGTTTCTATATTCTGCTTTTGCTCAGAAAGCGGCTTAGTAGATAGAAAAATCCTCAAGCAGAGGGTTTCTTTCACTGAGCAACTCTGTGATTTTATGAAGTGCGGCCACCAGCTTCTCCCCTCTTGCTTTTCAGTTGGTCCTGCTAGCTAGGAATGATAGGCTTTGTAGTCCAACAATAACTGGGGACCCAAGGTTGAGGAAGGCTGGCATACCCACTCAAGGTTCAAGAATAGCATCTTCCTATTTTCACCGATTGCCAAGACATTTCCAGGGAGGGGAGAGGAAACTCGACAGCCGGGGGGGGGGGCTTTCATAGAATCATAGAGTTGGAATAGACCACAAGGGCCATCGAGTCCAACCCCCTGCCAAGCAGGAAACACCATCAGAGCACTCCTGACATATGGTTGTCAAGCCTCTGCTTAAAGACCTCCAAAGAAGGAGACTCCACCACACTCCTTGGCAGCAAATTCCACTGTCGAACAGCTCTTACTGTCAGGAAGTTCTTCCTAATGTTTAGGTGGAATCTTCTTTCTTGTAGTTTGGATCCATTGCTCCGTGTCCGCTTCTCTGGAGCAGCAGAAAACAACCTTTCTCCCTCCTCTATATGACATCCTTTTATATATTTGAACATGGCTATCATATCACCCATTCATTTTTCCAAAATTGCATTTACTGAAACAAAAGCTTTTTTCAAAGAAGGAAACAACTTTTACTGAAAGCTGGAGATTTTAAACTAGAAACATCTGTATGCTTTCTGCCAGTTCTTCTGTTTTATGTAGTAAGAAGTGCCGGCGTTCCACCTATCACTTGGGAGCGCTGGACTGTATTTTCGGCTTGGAGAACGTCACAAGGAGAGACTTGCAACATTTAGGCCAGTGTTCTATCCAGCTCAGTAACGTCAGACTCGCCAGCTCCACCTCTCTGGTTGGTAGAGTTACATGGGCACCATTTAGGTAAAGCCCAGGATGTTAAAATAAATAACTCCGAAATAACCATATTTCAATATTTGCATTTGGTCAGATCAGAAACCCAAAGCGGGGTGTTTTTGCATGTGTCTGTGAGTCAGGACCATAGCCATGGTGAAAGGGAGGGGAGATTCTGCAGAGGCCTACCCTTTTCCATGATTTTTTCAGCTTTCTTTTTTAATAGTGAATCTCTAGCCTATTTTTGAAGACAGAGGGCACGGAAGACATTCTCCCTAGTTGCTCAGTGAGAAGTAAACCAGTGTTATCAGTATTCAGAACCTTTCGTGTGACTAAAAAGCTTAGAAGTATACCTCACTGGTTCCGATCCGGCAAAAATTAGTTGTCACTGCAATCCTATGCATACCTGGAAGTGAGTCCCACTAAATCCGATGGGACTCACTTATTAGTATAATAGTATAATCTGTTAGTTCAGTTGAAACCCATGGAACCAATTGGTTGCAATTGGAGTTAATCAAGACTTAACTTTAGCTGGATTCGAGTCACCAGCTAAGTTCAGGCATCTTATTTTTGTCTTCCAAGTGGTTTGCTTTTCCCAGATAACATTGGACCGCAGTGTTACAAAGCGTTGGTGTTTTATGAAGATTTTCTAAAACTGAGCCAGCTAGGCCAAGAGTGGAGCTGCTTCATCCAAAGAGAGCCCTTTGAAAAGCTGAGCTCAGCTCAGCAGATGAATGCACAAAATTAGCTAGTTATGCAAAACACTTAAAAAAAAATAATGTATTGGGACTTAACACAGAGAGCTTACTCAAAAAAAGTCAGCATTGGATCTACTTTTTAGCGATGCACTATGCAAGGTAATCTAAATGAAAGCCCTTCTGAATGTTTTCTGGGAAGCAAATGGGATTTAGTTGAATGTAACCGGACATTAGGGTCACTCTGCTAAAGTTAGATCACCTATGGAAGTTGTATTGTCATTACTTTTAATATTGTAGACATTCAAAATGTCACAAAATTCATGTTTTTAAGTAACTGATTAAAACACCCTTAGATTTAAAGAGCACAAGAGTATCTTTGCTGAATCATAATCCAGTAATCTGAATCCAGACACCTCTGAGAGTTCACAAGGCATGGACCAGAAGTTCACAAGCAGAAATAATTACCGTATCTGGGTCTCTTCCGAGTTGTTTCATTGCACGAAGGAACTATCCACTGGATTTTTCTACTTGTCTGGGTGACCCCCTAAATTCCAGGATTGTGAGAGAGGAATGTTTATCTCTTCTCCACGCCCCACTATACCAGGAATAATTTTATAAACATTTATCATGCTCCCTCCCTCCTCCCACTTTTTTTTTTTTTTACTAACCCCAAAGTTTTAATCTTTATTCATTTATTACCGCTCAAGGGGAAACAATCTTTTAGGTTTGACGCCTGCCGACAACATCACGACCCCAAAACAATTTGTACAAATGTCTTCAGCTGATCTTGTTCAGGAATCACTGTCTCCATTTTGTCTGTATCCCAAATAAAGTGTTTTTGGAATCATTCTGTGTACAGAACAAGAGGTTGTCAAAGTAGGTGGGTAAACAGTAACTATTTATGGAATGTCTGCCTTGAGCGCCAACCAAGTTTTAAATATACATAATATTGTGGGGAAAGGGAGAGGCTATAAATAGGCCCTAGCTCTGTGGGAGGTTTTTGCAAAGTAGG